CCTCCACTAGCTTTGTTCATAGTGATGCTTCCTAAGGCCCACTTGACTTCACATTCCAGGATGTCTGGCTCTAGGTGAGTGATCACACCATCGTGGTTATCTGGGTCATAAAGATTTTTCTTGTACAGTTCTTCTGTGTATTCTTGCCACCTCTTCTTAATATCTTCTGCTTCTGTTAGGTCCATACCATTTCTGTCCTTTATTGTCAGAACCAGATAATTTCAGCCTCCAAGTGAACAGTGGATAAAATGCCTGGAGTGTGGGAGGGAGGTTGTAGGGTAAATGGTTAACACGAGTTAAGGAGCTGCATTTACTGCAGGACGGTAGCCTTGCCCCTCTCTTCTCCTTTTTATGTGAAGCTTCAGGCAATATTTGAATCCCGACTAAAAGCCCAGAGCTGTGTTCTACAGAAAGGAAACACTTGCCTGGAGAGAGCAGTTGTAAAGAAGGGAGAGCAGGGCAAGGTTTATGGTAATTCCAGACCTTTACCACAGTCACAGGGAAGGAAAAAAAAAAAATAGAACTAATGGCAGCTCTTCCCAAGAAGGGTAGGAAATAATTCCTCCTACTTCCAGCGCGAAGCACCCCACGTGGCAGGGTTTGGAAGGTCCCTGCCCTGCAGGCCTGTCTTGAACTCCAGTCCAGTTGCCAGGCCTCACCCATTTCCCCAAACCTGTGAACAGACCGCCCTCCATTCAGGAGCCCTGTGGGTGGGGCTGACCAGCAGTCAGCAGCCTGGCCTTTGAACCTGAATGCCAGTAGACAGCCAGGGGTCCTCAGACAAGAAGGAGCGCTCAGCTAAGTAAACGGGAGATGACAGAGAAAACAGGCAACTCAGGGAACAGAGAACTTTTAAGAACTATCAGTAAGGTCCTCAGATTCGAAAGAACCAGTCAGGAAGCTTTCTCGAAAGTTAATGAAAAGGTGGCTAGAATTAAAAATCCATAGAAAAACACCAGATTTGACGCATGGGAAATAAAGGCATGGGAGAAAACACACAAAATCCTCCAGAATATGGATCACAAATGGGGCTTCCCTGGTCGCTCAGTGATGAAGAATCCGCCTGCAATGCCAGAGATGCAGGTTCGATCCCTGGGTCAGGAAGATCCCCTGGAGGAGGAAATGGCAACCCACTCCAGTATTCTTGCCTGGGAAATCCCATGGACAGAGGAGCCTGGCGGACTATGGTCCATGGGGTCGCAAAGAGTCGGACACGACTGAGCAACTGTACGTGGATCACAAATATAGAGATAAGAAATAACAGAAGATTTAAGAGATATGTAAGATGAACCCAGAAGGTCTAACGTTTGTTTAATAGGACTTACCCAGGGAGAAGTATAAGGAAAAGAGGACAGAAAACCAACCAGTAGTGGAAGACGGGCTCCTCGTCCGTGGTGCAGGATTCCCTCATGCCCCGAGGAGGGGAGGGCGTGAACCGCAGTCTCCGTCCCCGTAAGGCGCACTCACAGACCCCCACAGACCGCTGGGAGGCAGAATGGGTGTAAGCGAATTTAAGGAAGAGGAGAAGGTGGGGTATACAAAACGGAGCAGATCAAAGTTAAACCCTGGAGTCGGTCTGAATGCCTGCTCACTTTGGTTTGCATTTTTTATCCAGGAAGGGTCACTGGGAGGCAGGTAACAGAAAGGAGGACAACGCTGGGGGCGGTGGTGAGTGCCGCGTCCTCAGCCTGGCAGAGAGGATGTCAGGGCTCATCAGCTGCACACACTGTAACCCACACCTGTGCGGCAAACATGTTGTTCAGTTGAGCTGAGTCAGGAAAGGGTGAAATCAAAAGGGAAACACCTAGAAGCAGAGAAAATAAAAACCGTAACCCCAACCCAGGATGGCCAGCATCCCCTCCGAGCCACCGCTGAATGCCTTCAGTGCCCCCTAAAAGCAAACGCTTTTAATGAATTGTGAAAGGAAATCTAGTCATCTGAAGTTTGAGAAAACAGTGACATAGAAAGATGGAAAGAGAATGGATGGAAAAATATGTACCCGGCAAATACCAATGATAAGCAAGTGTAGCAATATTAATGTCAAACTGAATGGAATTCAGGGTTTAAAAACAGCATTCAGAAGCCAGAGGCGTACTTCACACTTATGTAAAATTCACCAAGGAGCCTCACTGTAGTATCAACATGATGTTGTCTTATAAAACCTCAAGTTAGAAGTATGACAACAATGTGATATTTTCTCTTTCTAAATCTTTATTAGCTGCTGAAATATCATCTAGATAATGTACATAAGAGTACAGAGGGATTTTGGCAAACTCTTAACCTTGATTTCCAAATAAACAGCTGTTAACTTTGTGTCCCATAAACAGAGAAGCACTTTTTTTTTTTTTTACAAATACTAATGGAATATTTGTTAAAATTAAGGATGACTCACCCCAGAGTTGGTTTTTTCTTTTTTGGTCTTATGATATCTGTTTATTGGTCTTTGCTGGGGTCTTTTTTTTTTTTTTTGAGGTACAGGTTGTATATAGTATTATATAAGTTCCATATGTACAACATAGTGATTCACAAATTTTAAAGATTATACTCCATTTGTAATTATTGTAAAATATTGGATGCATCCCCTGTGCTGTACAATATGTCCTTGTACCAAAATTGTATTTTGCCAATCATGCTTTCTTTTTGTGGTAAACAAACTTCTACTCTCTAGCTCCTGAGCACCCCCTTAAAGAGTTATAATTTTTTTGATTGGCTGGAGAACATCCCTGTCATACATAGTAGTAGGTGGTCCGAAGATCTCATCATTTGTCTCATCACTGAAGCATCAGGTGGGAGGCAGGTCGGCTCCCAGCTCCCTAGCTTCCTCTTGCTCTCCCATCTTTGGGACCAGAGAAAACTTGACCTCTTGATCAGCGTCATCTTATCCTTAAGCAAGCCGGGAGGAACCAGGCATATTTGCTCCGAGTCTCTTCCATACCTGATCCCCCAAATCAACACATGTCCAGGAGCCAAGCTCTTCCTGGTAAATGCTGCCTTCCTAGCCTTGCTGTGGAGCAGCCTGATGTTCTCCAGGTGAATTTAGCAAGGCTCCACACCAAATATCCCGCCCCTCCGCAGCCCCAGCAGCCGCCTCCGGGGAGAGGGGGGAGCTGGGGGTGGAGACGTGAGAGTCATGTGCAGGCCACCCTGTTTCCAGCACCCGCCCCCACTCCACACACACACTCACCCACACACACACACCCACACACATACCCGCCCCCACTCCATACCACACACACACACCCACACCCACCCACACACACACACCCACCCCCACTCCACACACACACATCCACACCCCCCACACACACACCCGCCCCTGCTCCACACCATACACCCACCCACACCCACACACCAGTTCTGCCAGACAGCTTATTAAACATCATACACGTTTCCCTTAGCGTTCCCACCCCACTGGTCAGTGTCTCTCCCTGCCTCCCCAGTACTCCTCTCTCTTCATAGCAAGTAGCTATTTGTGAAAACCACCCTAACTGAAGGAAACTCGTTACCCATTTTATGTCTTGTGCGTCTTTCACTGTCACACTCTGCCACGCCTGCCCACCCTTGTAAGGAGGATTTTATTACATGTCTAAAGCAGACAGCCTTGCTAAACTCTTTCTAAACCAGGAAGTGAAACAAAATTGGTGGTGTGAACACAGTGGGTTTCTAAGCATTTTTCATGTTTCCTTCCATTATGTTGGAGGATAAATTCCTGGCTTAAAGTTAAAATAATTCCTCCACGCTAATAGGAAATTCAGTATGACTTATCCAGTGAAACGCTGGATATAAAGTGAGCTTTTTCACATGCAAAGATGCCATGTGTTTCATAAAAACTGTTCAGATGAATGGTTGAGGAGCCTCGGGAAAGATGGAAGAGGAGAAGATACAGCTTAGCGATATAAATGCAAACGTGTACTATGCGGATTCCCCTGGGTGCACACACACACCCTGTAACTTTAAAGCTGTCTCTTAGAAGGATGAGATGGAGCTGTGAGCCAGACCACGTTGGTTTGGACTGAAATTCTTACAGAATTATTAAGCCTTAAAAAAAGCAAAGGAGATTTATGCATCTGCATTTGACCAATTTGGTTTGGAATAGGTTCATAATGGAAAAGTAATAAAACCATAAGAGACAGTGTCTTCTGAGTACAGTCTCGCTTTTAAAAAATCTAAACATGGGCTGCCCCAGTTTGGATAAAATGACTGTAGAAAAATTTCCCATTGGTAATTTTGGGAGGGTGTTTTTTTTGTTGTTGTTGTTGTTTCTTTTTCATTGATTATTAGCCAGTACAAATTTTAAAATTTCTGGCAGATATTTTTTTCAAGAGATGTCAGTCGTAGGAAAGAGAAATCCTAAAGCATTATCTGTGGGTGCCTCCCCCCAGGTCACCCCCACCTTCACACATGTATGCGCACGCACACACACACACACACACACACACAATGTTTGTTTAGCTATCAGTAAAGTCTTTTCTGGTGTAACCGGAGAGGTTAGGGTTTGGAGGGTGTGAGTGGTTGAATGTGTGTGAGGAGGCACCTCTGGTGACTGCCAGCAGCCGCAGAGAAGCAGGAAGAGGAAACGGATAACAGGCTTCACCTCTGAAAAATCAGACCCAATAACTCTGATTTCAACAGGAAAGCAAAAAAAAAAAAAAAATTAAAAATACAACAACCGAAAAAAACCCCAAATCTTTCTCCATTTGTTTTCAACCACTTGAAGTTGTGTTGATCTATAATTCCTCGAGACTGTGTAAGAATATAAGCGTAACAAGCGGAGGCTGGTGGTCTGGGGAAGGAGAGGCGAGGCGTGGCTCCATTGGGTGTATTGGAGCCGCCATGCCTGCAGATGGGAGTCACAGCTCTGCTTCCCAGAGGCGACAGCGAACAGGCTTTTGACTCGATCCCAGCCTTAACTTTCTTGCCACGCCTGGCAGTTCACAGCACAGTTACTTTTATGCAGTGAGAACGCAACCCGACTGCAAAGGTGCTGTCTTTTCTGGCAGGTATGCCGGCAGCCTCACTAGTGACCCCTGCTGATGTTATCAAGACGCGATTACAGGTGGCCGCCCGTGCTGGCCAGACCACTTACAGCGGAGTGATAGACTGCTTCAGGAAGATCCTGCGAGAGGAAGGCCCGAAAGCTCTGTGGAAAGGAGCTGGCGGTATGGAAATAAGTTGCTCTTAATCAAACCGTTGGTGTCAGGTGAATTTTTACAATCTTAACCGTGTCTGTTATTTCCTATTCTCCCCCCCTCCTCTAAAGCTCGAGTGTTTCGGTCCTCCCCCCAGTTTGGTGTAACTTTGCTGACCTATGAATTGCTCCAGCGATGGTTCTACATTGACTTCGGAGGAGTGTAAGTATCTTGCTAAACTTCAGCTGCTTCTAATGCTGGGTTGTCATCCAGAAAGGTATGTCCTTTCAGTCCCTGTGATGAAGTAGAAGAGATGTAGGAACATACTGAAATCATGTTATCAGATTCATTTCAAAAGGGAACACACAAGTAACCAGAATTCTACACCTCTCCTCTATGATCCAGATGCTAGCAGTTTTTGAATGTTGTTTTTACCAAGTTAAACAAAAACCCTCAGATTCTCACCCTATTTTCCCTTCTTGTAGGAAACCCATGGGATCGGAGCCAGTTCCTAAATCCAGGATCACCCTGCCTGCCCCCAATCCTGATCACGTTGGGGGCTACAGACTGGCAGTTGCAACATTCGCAGGGATTGAAAACAAATTTGGACTTTACCTGCCTCTCTTCAAGCCGTCAGCATCTGCCTCACCAGCCGTGGGTGGAGGCCCATAGAGGCCCAGCGCCGGGCCATCGCTGCACCTCTGGTGTGACTGGTGGAGAGAACTCCCCGTCTCAGTGCGAACACTTCACGCCTTTCACTTCCGTCTCCTGTTTAAATTCAAGTCGAGGCTTTTGATAAGGTGAAATCATCTCTTCTTCTGTGTGTTTTCCTAACTAGATCATTGTGAATTTATTTATAATTATTCTTTGGGCCTCTTCTCACAAACCTGTGTTGGTACCTGACATCTGCTGGGACTTGGTCAGCATTAACCTGATCTGGAGGAAGAAGCAAGTCTGAACAGAAATTAGAACCATTCTCCTCAGATTAGGATTACAGCCCAGAAGAAGCTACTGAGAGGCAATCACGGTGCTCTGAGCAGTGTTCCCGTGGCTCTTTAACCTGGTAGGAAGCTGGGTGCATATTTATAAAAAGTGAAATAAACACTGGAAGAAATGAAAACATTATCAGAAATAGCCAGCCTGGCTTCAGATTCTAAACACACGCTAATTCTGACTCTGGATTATATTATGAAGCTTTGATGTGAAACATGTTGTTTTGTAATGAAAACCACATTGAAGATGTTTAATAATTATATTCTGTTACTGGTACTCAGGCTACCAGGGAAAGTCTTTGTACTTTAGAGAAAGTACTCTTGGCTCTGCACGCGACAGATGGAGAAACCCAGAGACACAGCCCCTCTCCTGGCTTGGGATGACTGCTCGTAGGAGGCACTCATGCTGACCACTGCCTGTTTCAATAAACACTGTAGAAAAACGCATGCCCTCCATTACTGATACCTGCCCTCGCCCCCTCCCAGTCCTCCGTAATTGGCATCCATTTGCTTTTAAAATCCACTTTATCTTGAATCATGGAAAAATACATTGTAATATGCATTTTTATTTAATTTGTGGTGCCTCGAACAATGGTCAGAAGGCTCATGAGTTTGTGAAGAAGGAAATAAACTATTTTTAAAGCTACTGAGTGTTTTTTGCTCTTGTTACATCATGTGGCAAATGACTGCAATAGTTGTCATCATTGGACTCTCAGTGTTTCATTTTGAGGGTGACTTGTTCATATCAGCATGGGTTTGTCTTTCTGGTCTCTCACGGTGCTATGTACCCACGTCTTTAGTATGCCAGTGTTCAGTGTGAGTAAGAGAGGCTATTTAAGTTTGATCCCAGATGAGTGAGGAACCTAGCAAGCTGACCCTTGCTCTAGTCATCCTCCTTGCTTTCTGTAGTTGCTTACTGTGAGAATTAATGTGAATATCGAGTTTCACTGGAGGTTGGGCATGAAAACTGGTACAAAGTGGCACTGGTGTCTTCTAATCCTCTCTGAGTCTTCCTTGTGCCAAAACCATGGACCACTGTGCGCACCCTTTGGTCATACCTGATCAACATTGTAATGACCAGGGAAACGGTGTTAGTCTTGAACAGAATTTCAGGCTTCTCTAAGGCTGCCGTTGTGTTCCTAAGTGACTTATTCTCAGTTGAGTCTGAACTTCCTATGTCTCCCACATTTGCCTCCAGAAGAGAGCCATTTTTCAGTTTCTGTCTTGCTGTAGGTCAGCAGGTTGACATTCAGAGTTGCTGTTCAAAATGGGAAAGTGTAAAAACCATCTGTGAGTCCGCTTTGTTGTTGTTGTTTGGGGTTTTTTTTTTTTCCCCAGTGAACAAAAGCTTTGTTATTCTCACCAGAAATAGGACAGATGTATACATGGCTCCCTCATGGTTTTGGTTTGGCAAACCCCAAAGAGAATGCCCTCCGTCTCCCTGAGCTTGCCCCCCTCCCCCAGTCCCTTGCTCAATGTGACAAGTAACATTTATATTTTAATCTCCAAGACCAGTCACAAGACTCCACATATTTCATAGAAATTTAGGTGGTGGTACAGTAACACAGCACTCAAGCTTTGCTATTTTGAATGTGGAAAAAAGTCCTCTGAGTGTAAACCCTGCCTGCCTGCCTTTCTTTTCTTCAACTGCTTGAAATTTTATGGAAAATCAGATTTTCCAGGTGTAAATACTGACCCAGATCTCAAGACATGGTGCACTGCCCTGCTTGCTGCTTTTTTGTTTTAATATTTGCTTATTTATTTGACTGCTCTGGGGTCTTAGTTGCAGCATGTGGGATCTAGTTCCCTCACCAGGGATCAAACCTGGGCCCCCTGCATTGGGAGCTCAGAGCATTAGCCACTGAACCACCAGGGAAGTCCTGCTTGCTTCTTTAGGAGCTGTTGCATCTGGTGGGAGAGCATCTTGGCTTCCCTTAGTCCTACCTGGAGCTGAGGATGATTCTCTTTAGTAAAGGAGAGAGCAGAGAGGTACCAGGAAGCCAAGGAGATAGGCCCACACGGCTGTGTTTCTTTAAAATCCTTGGCTTAGTCTGTTCAGGGGTAGGCTGTGACTGAGACACTTCGAAGGAGGCCCCATTTCCACCTGAGTTGTGCTCAGTAGGTGGTGTGACTGTGACATCCTTGAACAGGACTGCAGTCACCGCGCGGTGAAAACCACGTCAAATTTGTTCTGGGTTTTCCTTCTTCCTGAAGTGACAGCACAATCCTCAGCAGTGCTGTGGCCGCCGCTTATGCAGTGGTTGTTTGCCTCCTCCTCGCCAAGGGGCTGAAAGCTGAGTAACTCCCACCCCAGCGGGCCAGCCTCCCCCTGCCCCGCCGGCCCTGGAGTCTCTCCCTCTGCCCCTGTCCATTCCTGATTGCCGGAGGGGGAGCGGGGGAGAGGCCTGCCTTTTGTGCAGCAAGTTTTTTCTAGGAGGGGAAAAAATGTGGAGCTGCCCACAGAATGAACACGCTGATTCTTGGGCTCCAGCCGTGGCCGGGTTTCTTGAGGCTGGGTGGCATGCTGTCGCCAAGCTTATGCTTCACCTCATAACCCACAACCGTTCGCTGTGCTCCCTGGGGTTGCCTTAATCCCAAGCAGCCAGCATTGCACAGGGGAACATAAGAATCCTGGCACAGAAAGGAGTCATTTAAATGCTTATTGCATTTCAAGCTTCAGTTTTTAGTGAAAACATTTACCATTGCTGGAAAACAATGTTTAAAATTTTGTTGCTTATATGTTGTTTAATGGTGTGGCCGATGTAAACCTCAGGATGCTTACATTTTGACAGTCTTCTGGAAATGTTTAACAGCACATAACTCAGTGAGCAGGGAATAAAAACTGGGAACAAATTGTGCTTGAAACTTTGTAACCTCCCCCGACTAGGTATTCCGCAAGGCACGTTGGAATTCTTCAGGTAGAGACAGGGAAATCTCCAGTAATGGAATTAGGTGTCTTGTAGCCCCATTTAGCAGCCTTGTAGATAAACCCTCAGAGTCATCATGTGCCTTTTACCGCAGAAGCCATCCTGGTGGAAATGAATTTGTATCTTTGCCACTGAGCGAAATCCCACTTTCAGTTCAGGGTCATCAAACGCTTTCAGGATGGGGATTTTTCCAAAGATTTTTTAAAAGACACATTCCCTGCTAAGAGCAGTGAAATGTTCTTTCCACAAATGGCACTGCCCTCAAAGCGTTAGTCACGCAGTCGTGTCCGATTCTTTGCGACTCCATGGACTGCAGCCTGCCAGGCTCCTCTGTCCATGGGGTTCTCCAGGCAAGAATACTGGAGTGGGTAGCCATTCCCTTCTCCCCAGGATCTTCCTGACCCAGGGATCGAACCCCGGTTTCCTGCATTGGAGGCAGATTGTTTACTATCTAAGCCACCAGGGAAGCCCCTTTTGGGGGTCGGGAGGGGGTGCCTTTGTTTTACCCTTTGGGAACAACCCAACCCTCACCACAGAGTTATGTTTTCCATATCATGAGGGCCACGGGTGGGGGGCGCATGGCATGCATGTTTTAAGATCTGAGGCAGAAAAGAGCTCTGTCACTTGTTTCTTTAAAACAGTGGCAGTCTTTAACCTGAAAGCCCAGATTGGGCTCTATGAGCACTGTGCCTGTGATGCTGGTTCCATAGTGCCTGGAACTTTGAGTAGGCTCTTTTCATTTGGATGGACGGATGGATGGATGGATGGATGGATGGGTTTTGAGAATATTTTTTTCCCAATTAGTAATCTCTATCATTTTCCCACTTTATAGGCCTTTTCAGTAGTGTTTTTAATGGCTGGAGTTAAAACCATAACTGAAAACAGCCCTATTCTAATGTATTGTTCAGTTACTTTAGAAGTCGTTAAGTACATCTTTTATTAAAGCAACTACAGCTGTGTAAATTGGTTTTAATTAGATGGTTACTCTGAGTCAGGAACTTTCATGTAAACTATATGATCTTTAAATTTCCTGGTCATGGTTAAAAATAAAGATTTAAAAAACCATCCTTTTGAGGTTAGAGGTACATTAGGCTTGTACCATTAGGTACATGAGTATATTAGCATTAAAACAGCTTTCCTTATCAATGAATGTTAATGACTTAGAGCTCCTCTGCCCTTTGCTGCCTGACATCTGTAGGAGCTCGGTGGCAAGCTTTCCTTTAGAAGCTGCTGAGGACAACGGGGACTCTCTTTCAGAAGGGTTTGTTTTTAGCTAATGCATTAATTGACTCCAAAAAGAGTCCAAATGGAACACTCTGCTTTCATCTGCCGGGGTAACCTAATAAAATAATGTTGTTTGTTTTTAGATTCCCGGCTGGTAAGGGGGGTTTTGCTCAAGGCAAAACCACAGTCCCCTCGAATAACTTTAGAAGGAGAGTTAAGAAGACACAGTAATTGTGCCTGTCTGAGGTTTGCTCCTTCAAGGGCCCAGACACACCCCTTGCACACTGGTCTGGCCACCAGGGCTCCGGTGCCCACCGCCGAGTTGATTCTTCTGGGCTGGGCTGGGCTCCTGCCCCCTGGAAGATGCTTAATTTTGCTGTGAGCAGTTCTTAAGGAGATTTTAAAACAGACTCGAGCTCTTAGAACAGAATCAGGCAAGCACACTGTGTATGCGATTCGTCTGACCCACAGAACGGGGAAAGGGGAATTCAGGTTAATGAAAGATGACTGATTACAACAGGCTCCTTAA